GTGGTCCTGTGTAGCATCTCTTATGTTCTTCTGTATCTAAGAGGCATATGAAAGAGTAGAAAAGGTGTACTGGATTTGGTACCAGAGATTCTGGCTTCACATCTAATTCTGCCACTTTGTATTTGTGTGATTGGGTTAAGTCACTTAACTTCTTGGAATTTGGCTCTTTTACTTGTCAAATGAGGGGATTTGACTCCCTGACCTCTATGGTCTTGTCCAGCTCTAAAAATCATTCATACCAGAAAGTCATGCAGCTTCAAATTCTGTGTCTGGAAGTGCTATGAAGGGAGTATTTAAGAGGGTCTGTTTTTGCTTTTAATGGCACAAATGCCTAGTGGTTACAGATATAATATGAATACTCTGTGCCACAGATCTGGACCAGAAAAACAGAACAAAACAAAGCAAAATCAAATGTTCTTTACAACCCATTTACATATCTATCAATCTTTGCTTGTACACGTATTTTCTTTTACTTGCTGGTTTTATTTATATCTGAAAGAGAATCTGTCAAAACATATAGGTTTCAGTTAATGTTTGGAAAGAGCAGGTTGATTTTAGCCAATTCAGAACATTCTTAATAGCTACATTTTTTATACATTTCCTACTTTCTTCATTGAATTTTAAAGGGATTTTGAATGTAACTTTTTAAGGAACTAAGAAAAAATGTTATTTATATTTTGTAGTCTTTATTTTGCATTATTTATGAGCAAGGAACTGAAAATGAGTTTCTAGATATGCTAACCACTGTATCTAAAAATAGACTTTGAGGCCATAACTGTAGATAGGAATTAAATAGATACTTGAGTCACTTCCTTAATCATTCAGGAGAGAATCACTTTTGCCAGGAACTACATGTATGAAACACAGTAAGGTCTTAATAAATGCTTTTTGATAGAATTGCTTCTTTTTCTTCCCCACCCCTCCACCAGCACTAGACTGGTCTTCTTGCCTCCATACTCTTAACAGAGATTCATGATGATTTGTGATTTATAATCATTTAAATAATTTATTGTGATTTATAGTGCTACTTTCCTCTCTACTCTCTTTACCCCAAACAGAAATGCTTACTGCCCATGTGACTCCACGTGAGTGAGACACTCTCCTTGCGTCTCTTTATTTATGAGGGAAATCAAAAAGATGTCCTTTGAAGTTCCAGTTCTAGATCTATGATACTGCGATGCTAGCTGACACCCAGAAAACTTTAGTAGGTCCCCAGTGCCATTAGGATAAAATGAAATTTCTGTAGCCTGGCATTTAAAGCCCTCCAAAATCCAACTATGTTCCCGATTTTATTTCTTTCTTCTCTTTTTATATGAGTGATTACAGCCACTCTGTAAGTGGTCTGTTTATTTCTCCTCAGATGTGGCATATGCATTCCTACCCCTGTGTCATGTTCACTGTGTTCCTCATTTCAGGAATCCCCCTTTACCCTTCCTTTAAGGCCCAATTCAAGACTTATTTCCATGAAGTCTTCTATAACTATCTCAGGAGAAAGAGAGGAGAGTTGTTTGTTACTTCTTCCTTTGAACCCTTTCAATAAATATTATAATATCTATAGCTGAATAATGATTTTGCCTTTGCCATTTAGTATCACATTTCATTTTGCCTAATTTTATTTATGTGTCTGGATTCCCCACCTAAGGGGCTAGAGCAGCTAAGTGGCTTGATGGATAGAATGCCAGGACTGGAGTCAGGAAGACTCATCTTTCTGAGTTCAAATCTGGCTTCAGACACTCATTAGTGTGACCCTGAGCAAGTCACTTAACCCTGTTTGCCTCAGTTTTCTCATCCATAAAATGAGCTGGTGAAGGAAATGGCAAACCACTCTGTGTCTTTGCTAACAGAACCCAAATGGGGACATGACTGAACAACAAAACCACCTTTCATTTTGCTTAACTTTAAGTATGCCTCTGGATTCTCTATCTAAGGTGCTACATCTTATACCCCTTTGAGTCCACAGAGCTTAGCATAGTGTTCTCCATATTAGTAACAGGAGCTCAGTACAAATTTCTTGACAGTAATAAGGAAGTATTTCTCATGAAATAAATGCCTCATCTTTCATGAAAGGTTATTGAAGAGATGTTTACGCCTCAGAAAGACTTGTTCAAGGAGAGCAATTTTTCCCCTCTTAACAAAATGTTAGCTAATAAGACTCCATTTTGGTGAGTGAGGATTCGGAAACAATTCTCCTTTCTTTTAGAAAATAAAGTCTCTTAAAGTTTTTTTTAATGACAATTTTGAGATAGATACATCTGTATAATTTCAAACATTGATTCTGTGCTTTTTGCTCTGATAAACCACAAGTTCCAATTTATGTTTCCCACAAATAAATTCGTATAAAGACTTCCATGTCTCAGGAGATCTATGATGCCATCAACCTGGATACTCCCTCAAACTGGGCCTTCCCATCATGTGCCATTCTTCACTCTGTCATTCCATAGGTGTTCCATCTGTAGATCCGTAGATCTATACCTACCGTGCTGGAAGCCTTACTCTTAAATCTTCTTGACATTCTGTGGGTACCACTACAGTATTCTGGTCCCTGTTATCTGTTGTTCTCAATACATTTTTGGCTCACCTCCTTCTTAAATCATTATTTCCTGCATGATATCTTTTATGAACTCTTTGTACTACAGCTACCAAGGGTGATATGCTTTTGGCTACTTATCCCCTCATAAATCTGTGCTTTGCCCTTTGGGTCACTTGGCATAGGAGAAAGAGAGCTGGATTTGGATTCAGTGGAGATGGTTCAAGCATTGAGTTCCTGTGTGATTCTCTGCCTCTCTCTTGGTTCTCTCGTTTGTATAGTGAGGGTGTTGGACTACATGGTTCCTAAAGTCTCTTTCAGCTTATATATTTTGTAATCCATATAAACACAGCAGCTAAGAAATTCATCAGAGCAGAGAGAGCAATAAAAAACCATAACTCCAGGCCTATTTCTATGTTCTTCCTTTTGAAGGGGGCAAAAAGAAAAAAGAAGGACTAAAGATTTTTTTTTTTTGGTGAAATGAAAACTTTCTTTTCTTATGTCAAATCTGACTGCCAAGAATATTTTTTATTTTATTTTATTATTTTTTTTTTGTGTGTGACAGATTAAGTGCTACAATCAGTATCCACCTTTTAGAGCTTTGGAGAATGTTGTTGCTTGAAAAGCAAGCTTGAACTCCCCATGAGATCATGGAAGAGATAAATGCTTAAAAGCTTTTCAAAGCTATACTCTTGGCTCTATTAGAATTTAATTTCCCACTGGTTGTGTTTATATCCATTTTGAAATACATAGCTATGAATGTACCAAACATGTGTACTTAGCTGCTTCGTGTGTCTTTGGAATGCTGGCTTATTTTCATTTGCTCATACAATCCACATGTAACCTCCACATACCAAATTCCCATCAAGTTAAATAATTCTGTTACTTTTAAAAACGAATTTGAAAATTGCCTTACAGTCTGTCAAACTCTGTTTTTCCTAACAGCTAAAGTGCACATTGCAGAAGTGTGGTCACACCAGTCAGTGCGCTGGTATTTGGAGGCAAAGGATGACCTGGATCTGAATCCCAGCTCTGCTACTTGTGGCTGATGTTTGACTTTTTATGAGCTCCTTAACCCCTCTAGACCTCTATTTCCTCATCTGCACAGGGTGAAGTCAACAAGCAGTTATTAAGCATCTCCTGTGTGCCAGGCACTGTGCTATGGACTAGGGACATCAAGAAAGATGAAGATGGTCTTTGCTCTCAAGAATTCAGTCTAGTGGGGGATGTAATGAGAAAAGAAAGACAATGAAAAAGGATGATCTATTATGTACCCTGTTTAGGCTAAACGGGAGATAGTTTCAGAGGGAGGGCATTAGCGTTTAAGGGTTTCTTGGAGAAGGTGGGATTTTTGTTCAGACTAACTTGAAGGAAGTCAGGGAAGCCAGGTGGGGTTGAGTTAGACAATGTCTGAGGTCCTTTCTAGCAATAAATCTGTGATCCTGCTTAGCCTGTGTGCCCGTGGGGGTTAGATTCTTCATGTAAAACGTTTTTGAATGATTAATTCATAATCACTACATAGACTTTCCTGAACATGAAACAGAAGCAAATTGTGAAATACTAGCTATGTAGCCTGTGTTTGCCTCAGTTTCCTCAACCCTAAAATGATGATATTAATAGCATTCTGCTAGGGTTGTTGTCAGGATCAAGTAGGATAATTTTTGTGAAATGTTTAGCATAGTGCTGGGCACATAATAGATGCTTTATAGATGCTTGTTCTTTTCCTTTCATCTAAACTAAATTGGATAGTTGAGGCTGTTTTTTGGATATAAGTATTTCTAAGCAGCGTATGAAATAGATCTGCTCCTGAAATGTGGCCTATATGATAATTTTCTCTTCATCAGAATCTGTGTGGATTGGCTTTCATTCATCTGACAATGATTTTTTGGAGTGCTCATTATATGTTGGTTGAGGGAAGGAGCATGGCGGGGCCTGTGTTCATAAGAGAAAATGACATCACAAGCTTTACTTAAAGAATATATAGTCCAGTCAGCTTTCACTCAACATTTAAAAACAGATGAAGCAACCAGAAATCCCTTAATTACAATGTGTTGTTGAAAAACGTGTCACATGACAGATTATAAACTGTAGTGGGGTGGGATCATGAAGTATTGTGGAGTCAAGGAGGCAGAAGAATGACCAGAGATGTCAGTGATTAATCAGTGATTGGCGGGAGGGGACGTTGGGATTGGTCTGGAAATAGAGAGAAACCATACTTAGAAATGCAGAGCGCACACACACACACACACACACACACACACACACACACACAGACACACACACACAAAACACAACACACATATCAAGATGAAAATTCCGAAGCAGTAAGCCCTGGGACTTGGGGACAGAAAGCATAGAGTGGGGAGCAGTTTAGAAACACATGGGGGACAGTGGGAGGAGCATCAGGGGTCCATTTCCCTTGTGAATTACCATCTTGTTGCTTTCACTTATACTTGACAATTTCTTTCAATAGATCATCACAATGGAAAAAGCTATGCACTGGCTTCTAGGCCTATGTTAACTTGCTGTGTGATTTTGGTGAGTTACTTTTTCTCTTCTTGTACAAGAAGCCTTCCCCAACCCCTCTTAATTCCATGCCTTCCCTCTGTTAATTACTTCCTATTTATCCTGAATCAATCAATCAATCTGTCTGTCTGTCTGTCTGTCTATGTATCTATCTATCTATCCATCCATCCATCCATCTATCCATCCATTCATCTGTGCATCCATCCATCATCCCTCATCTATCCATCCATCCATCCATCCATCATCTCTCATCTATCCATCCATCTATCCATCTGTCTGTCTGTCTGTCTGTGTCTGTCCATCTATCTGTCTAGCTGTGTGCATGTTGTCTTACCTGTTAAGACTGTAAGCTCCTGGAGGGCTGGCACTGCCTTTTGCTTCTTTTTGTATCCCTAGCACTTAGCATAGTGCCTGGCACATAGTAGGTACTTCATAAATGTTGGTTGATTGAACTATGCTTTATTTATATTTTTATTTGTAAAATGGAGATAACACCTCTGTTACCTCCTTACCTCACAGGCTCTTATGAGGACTGAACAAAGCTATAGATATGGAAATGGCTGGGAAAGTTGTGAAACATGGTAGAAATATAGTCATCTTCCTTTTCAAGTAGATGGGAAAGCTAAGGATTCAGTGTCAATCCTTACATCGTGACGGTAGTGGACCTTGAATGGGTCATATATACTGATATTCAAGATTATGACAGAGACATGTCTTACCTGCTCTGTTGTTTTCCAGGTAGCACAATCAAGTTTCTCTTCTATTTTTAAGAGAAAGAAAAGAAAGGAAAATCCTCCATGTGGCTTCTCATTTAGTGTCTCTTTTTAGTGTGGCAGCTAGGTGGTGCAGTGAATGGAGTGCTGTAGTCAGGAAGGTCAGAGTTCAAATGAGGCCTCAGACCAGGCTAGCTGTGTGACCTTGGGCAAGTCATTTGACCTCTATTTGCTTCAGTTTCCTCATCATAATAATAACACCTACCTTGCAGGGTTGTTTTGAAGATCAAATGAAATAACATTTATAAAGCACTTAGCATAGTGCCTGGCACTTATATAAACGTTAGTTATTGTTATTATTATTGTTATTATTATTATTACTGCTACTACAACTACTGTTAGCTGTGTGACCTTGGGCTAGTCATTTAACTTTTTTTTTTGTTTTTTTAAAAATCTTTTCATTTTAGACTTGGACACTAAAAGTTAAATACATAATAAGAAAAAAAGAAACATTATAAACTTAAATATTACTACTTAAATATAAAATAAGAAAAGAAAAAAATGTCACGTGCACAGCAGAACATGAGAGCATTCAAAATATATATCAATAAATTTACATGTCAGGAAAGCCTATATTAAGTCATTTAACTTTTAACAAACATTCTGTTTGCCTCAGTTGTCGTGTATGTAAAATGGGGATAATAATAGCACCTGTCTTGCAGGGTTGTTCATGAGGCTTGAATGAGATGATAATTGTAAAGTCCTTACAGAAGTGCTATGTAAATGGTAGCTATTATTAATAGTGCTTGTTTTCCTGTTGTTGTTTGCTTTTTGGTTCCTGAAGAGGACCATGACGTCAGGGAGGTGATGCCATGACATGCAAATGAATTGGCTTTAAATGAGGGAGGGCTGTGCAGAGTCACCAGCCTCACTTTCTCCTCCAGAGCCGTCTGGGTCCAGTGGCAAGATACAGATCAGGATGACTGGAAATGGCCCCTGTTTGTTTTTGTGTATTGCCTACATGTGGCAACAAGGGTTAATAGAACCTGAAAAGTTTTAGTACAGAGTGGGTAGGGAACCTGTGCACAGCCTCGAGGCCCCATGTGGCCCCCTAGGTCCTCAAGTGTGGCCGTTTGACTGAATCCAAACTTCATAGAACAAATCCCCTTAATAAAAGGATTTCTTCTGTAAAGCTTGGACTAAATCAAAAGGCCACACCCAAGGACCTAGAAGGCCACATGGGGCCTCGAGGCTGTAAGTTCCCCACCCTTGGATAGACCTGTGGGATTGGTGGATTAAGAGCTGGAAGAGACCCTGGAACCCACCTATACCAACCCCCCCAGCCCCCCCAGCATTTGCAGATCAGGAAAATAAAGGCTAAAGAAGTTAAATGACTTGTTTGTGGTGAGACAGTGTCTGAGGCAAGTCCTCTGACTCCAAAGCACTGTACCACGTTGGCCTGTCCCCTCCATTATTTCACAGTGGAGTTCAATTCTGTTCAGCAGTCATTTATTTATCACCTACTTAATGCCAGTCACCAAGGGACAGAGATGGGAAAACCTGTGCACAGAGAAGTAATAACAAAATACCTACTAAATAAATGCAGTGCATTTTCTGTGGGATTTGGGTGTGAGGAGTAGGGCCCTAAGAACTGGAGAATTACGAAAACTTTCTTGTAGGAGGTGGCATTTCAACTGGAGTGGAGCTAGGGTTTCTAAGTGGTATATTTCTATAGAATTTAAAATTTATATAAAATACATTCCTCCGTATGACCCTGTAAAAGGAAGTATTGCAAGTAGGAACCCTGCATCCCCTCCCACCCCAACTCTGGAATCATATTCATCTGGTTTTTTAGACAGAAGGGGTTCCTGACATTTGGACAACTTCAGTGCCCTGGCGGTTTCCAGGGAATAGAAGAGAACACTAGGGCTCAGATCTCTTAATGAATCAGAGTCACTGGCTGATTGTTTAACTTTTCGCTTTTCTTTTTAGAGAAAGTTAAAGCTTTGTGTCTATCTTTAGAAGAGCAAGGTGCTCAGAGCCCCATGCCATTTTCATTTTAAATGCCCTGGCCCAGGTTTCGGAGGTGTTTCAAAAGAAAAACTGATCCAGTACATCATATATAGAGGCAGAAAAGGGGGGGGGCGAGGCTCATCATGGCTCTGAATTTCCATTCTTTCACCGTTGATTCATGTCAAAAAATGCATGAGTGACCCTAGATCTTTGAAGGCTGAATGAGGTTCACACAAAGTTCCATTGTCTCTTTCTCTTTGTAGATCCATAGAAACCTGGATAATGAGACTATTATTTGGATCAAAAGAGACCTGAATTGAGAGTTAAGATCTGGGTTCTAGTCTAGGTCTTGCCAATGGTCAGCTGGGTAAATTGGGCCAAGCTATTTAGCCCCTATAAGTTTTAGCATCTTCATTTATAAAATGAGGGGATGGACTGGAATCTTGTTATCTTAGAATGAAATGATCTGTAAAGGTCCCCTCCTAATATATAATTCTGTTTTTTTTTTCCTAAATGACTCAGCCTATCTCACTCACTTATCTGGCTCAGTCAGGTGTTTGTCTATCTCTCCCTCTGTCTTACTATCTATCTTTCTGTCTATCGCAAGGATTGAGAAGCAGGTTATGGAGAAAAGTAAACAGATGAATTCTCACAAGTGGCCCCAGTTTTTTGCCTTGATTTTCCATGTGTAGGTACAGCTTCTGTCTATGATAAAGACCCACTGAAAACATCTAGATCAAGAAATCGACAACTTAATCATCCTCTTACTGCTTGGATCCCTAACACATTTTGACATGATCAAACACATAATTATATTGACCAAGACGATTTATACTTCCAAGTGCTTAGTTGAACTTGTTGGGTGAGTGGCCTGTGCATTCATTTAGTTCCTGAGACAAGCACTCCAAGACTTCTACTTCATTTGGCATTGGTGTCTTTGGCCAGCTGGGAAATAGGGATTTTCTTTTTTTTTTTTCCAATAATATACATGCTTATGATAAAGAAGATCTGTTTTTAGTTTATTCTGGAATTTCACCATATGGGGCCCCACTTTTAAAAACAAGAATGATGTATGAAAATGAAAACAAAATCCCTGTTATAGTACAATTTATTCTTACATGGATTCAGATATGTCCTTCCTCAAACTGTATCTCCTAAACATAACTACTATTCATTATAAAAACCCAATGTAAAAAGTCTGCTTATGGTACGGTATTGAAGTCCATCATCATTTTAAGACTAACATACTTATCATCAGCAAACTTTTTACATTAGGATTTTGCAAAGAACCGTCGTCACTGGGCAAATGAGATATGGTGTTCATCACTGTGCACATGTTAACTGATGTGATTTTCATAACACTCTTGTGAAGATAAGCGATGGAAATATTGTTATCCCTGCTTATAAATGTGGAGACTGAGACTTAGGGGAGTGCTCAAGGTTGTTATAGAGGTAGCAAGTGGAACTCAGGTCCACTTCTTTCCCACCTACTTGCTACTACTCAGCAGTTGCCCCTTATGCTAGGGTTATAGAAGAATTCCATTGAACGTTGGTGTATATGTATGTGTGTGTATATATACATATATGCACATATGTATATATACACACACATATGTGTACATATACACATAAGCATATGTGTATATATTATGTATGTATATACATACATATACACATAAGCATATGTATATATATTATGTATGTATATACATATATACACATATGTCATGTTGTCTTACAGAAGTGTTTAACTGATATTAAGTGATGAAATTTCTAAATGCTCAGATATGTCAATTAAGAGAAGATAAGAAGCTTGCTAATCAAAAGTATAATGCTGTTGCACTTAGGAAAACTGAAGAGATCATTAAAACCCTGGAATATTTGGTCAGAGCAGAAGACTCTTGTGCAGTTTTCTCATTTGGAAAGATTTCAGAAATCTTGTCACTAAAGATGAGCTCTTTCTATTGCATAGAATTTGTCCTTTTATAAGTATTTCTATGTTTTGATTTTGTGCTGTATTTAATTGGCAGTCAGCTAGGCTTTTATATAAATGCATTAAGGATCATTAAGGAGATGGGAAGCTGTTTATTTAATAAACTTACTACCCATTCTCCCACATCAACACATTTGAATAACTTGTTTAAGCTGAGATCAAGCATCTGAGATATTTTTCTTAAGTTCAGACCTGATGGCTTTTAATGATTTAATGCTGCTGTTAGTGACATAAGGGATTATCAAAAGAAATCAAAGGATAAGCATGGAGTTTAAAAGGACTTAACCAAATGCTTCCTTGAATATGCATGGAAAGAGCTCATTTCCACATAGCACTTCAAGGTTTCCAAAGTGCCATATATACAAGTGTTATTTCCTTTGAGTTTCATAATAACTCTACAGAGATTGGAGGGGATGTGGGGACGGTGGTCCACAGGATGTTCTAAAAGTTTCATTGTACAGTTACCTTTTCCATATCGCAGGGGTTAGGGGCAGAGTGCCCCTGTGATCTGGAAAATCTGTGTAAAAATTTTTGGCCCTCCCTTCGTACCAGAGAAGTCTGAATTTTTTTCTTTTTCTTATATGAGGTGTTTATAGTACCTTATTGTAAAATTTAGGTTGATTAAAATTATACAGTGCTATACATACATCTTAAGCATTTCTAAGTTTCTAAACTTTTTCTGTGTCATCTGTTGGCTTTTGCGTGTAACCTGTGGCTTCTGCAAACCTCCCCCCTGCAATTCCCATTTAATTTCCCAATTTCATTTCCCTTAACATATTGAAACTGCTATAGGGAAAGTCATGATGGGGAAGGGATAACTGTAGTTTTAATTATTAAAGCTTAAATAAAAAAGAAAAGCCTTAAAGCTTTGCTAACTCATACACCTCATACAGAGAGCTGGCTTTGGAATCAGAAATCCTAGATTCAAAGCCTGCCTCACAAGTTCACTCACTGACCCTCTCATTGCTCTGGACCAAAGCAAAACTCCCAGATTTGTAGAACTAGATTAAAATGGGATTGGCAAATGTTTAACAACTAAATAAAAATACAACACAACACAAACAATGTTAATTTGTGGTTTTCTAGATCACTATGTTAGCAGAGAGTGGTCTCTATTTGAATATGACACCACTGGTCTAGACAGCTGGCTGACTATACATTTCAGCAGAACTGCTGATCTGCGTTGTAGAAAGTGTTTCCTCACTGAGGAGTTCCTGACACAGATGAAATTATGGATTCTATTAAAAAAAAAGAAAACTTCCTCAAATCTATGAAATAGTAGAATATGTTTAATGATCTCATTTAAAAGATTGAGAATATTAAGTAGGAATTAAATTAATTAATTAGGTATTAAATTAATTAATTAGATATTAAAAGACTAGGGCTAGAGAGTTACTTAAGAATAGGTGATAAATATTGTTCGAAGAATTCAACATATTGAAGTATGAACAGTACCACTCTGGTCCAGTGTATTTGACCCAAAGAGATTAGTACCAAAGCTACTGTATCTGGTCTTTTGCTTTTTGCTTAACCAATAGGATAAAGTGCAAATATAGATATCTAAGTAAACGATGTATACGGGAAAATTTGAGTTTGTGAAAATGACAAATTATGGAACGATTATTTGTTTTGCCAAAGGAGTCTACACTTTACAAGAAATCCCATCAGAGAATATTTTCAAATAGGAGATTTCAATTCATTGTGTACTGCTCCCCAAAGGCAGTGGTTTTTGTCTCTGTGTGCTTAGGGCCTTGCATATAGTAGTCACTTAAAAAGTGTTTGCTTGTTTGAATTGAAATGAGTCCCCCAATCATCTATGTGATTTGATTTACAAAAATATACATGAACCCTTTTAGCATCACATTCATTGTTTTGAGTGAGGTACACATGAACATTTTTCAGACTGAGTATCAGAGAATAAATTTTATTATGCTGCCACTGTCGTCATGAAACATAAAGACAACATATAGCATTTCTCTTACAAAAGAGAGTTTTTCTAAGGCTTACATTTCTTAGACTTAGCCATTTCTTGCTCTTGTATTCTGTCAAACCATTTCATTCCTTGCTCTGAACCAAATAGGGAAGGGCTTCTAGGTTTCTCTTCTAAGTTACAATCATCAAGGCCATTATAAGTTTATCAAGTTCATGGAGTATTAGGTATGGCACCTGCTATTGGAGTAGACCTAATTTTGATTGTTAACAGTGTTAATCGTTCATGTATTGAAAGCCATTAATGAAGCTTCCTTTACAGCCTTGTGTAAGTAGCTCTCAAATGGAACAGATTCTTTGGATGCCAAGGCTGTCTATGGAGAAAGGGCAGGCTGTATTTAGACCCAATGAACTTCACGCCTTGTATCATTCTTCATTCCATTACATTTGTATCATTTACTATGCATTATCTACTGTGCAAGTGGGTGTGAATTCAGGCTTTCACAGTAAAGCTAATGGAAACTTGATTAGTACAGGATACATTCAACACTCAGAAATGTTGCCTCTGAATTCCTTTTTTTTTTTTTTGGTATTGACTGGAATAATTTCCAGAACTCATGAGTAAAACATGAAATAGTGTCAGAGAGTAATTCTATAAACATTAAATAGTTGATTGAAAAACAGAGCATATTTATTTTTCACAGGTTGCTCTGAATGCTATATAATGTCTTTATACATTTAATATTAGACATATATATTTAATTTTTATTGCTAATTACAAATTTTTCATCAACAAATTTATTAAGAAAATCAGGTCCTCGAAATACATTTTGGAGGGCCTGACTTAGGATCCTTTTCATGCTTTCTTTAGAGACTTCTCTAACTTTGGCTTTTGTATCTCTAGTAGTTTTGTGAAATATAGTGTGTACCTCTGTTGTTTCTAGGCCAAGATGATTACATTAATCTTTAAATTGCATTAAATAGCTGTTAGTAACTGCAATTCTTTTTCAGCTAGAAATATGAAAAGGGTGATCATGAAGCACGTATAATAATATCACTACTAGACAAAATTTATAAACGATTTGGGAGCTTCACAAATAATCTACAAATAACAAAATAAAGTCTCACGAGGCAGATCTTGAGCTATTTATGCACATGAGATTTAGGAAATTTGGGATTGGGTCTCATGTCTGCTACCTATTATTAGGCTTAGGGTCTTGGGCAAGTAACTTAACTTCTCTGAGAATGGTTTCCTCATCCTGGAGATGATAATAGTTAGACTACCTGCCACATTGGTTTGTTGTGAGGAAAGTGCTTGGGAAACCTTAAAGAACTGTCTATTTACTTATAAGCTATAATAATCATATTCATTGTTAGAAGCAGGCATGATTCAGGCTATATGCTGTTCAAGTTCAATGTTGCAATGAAATGAAGCCGTAGTAGATCATTCAGCAGGTTAAAAAAAAAAGATCTCCTTAGGCATAGCGTAGAAGAGATATTGAACAAGAACAAGAATTTAGTTTGGGCAGATTTTTGTTTGTCTTTATCTTCATGTGGTCTCCTTATGCCCTGGTCAGCAGGGCAAAGTATGGTGCCTCTCCAGGTCTTGGGACATCCGCAGTGTCTGAAGGGCCCTGACTCTATGAGGGTGAGCCTTCTTTAATGGCCTTATTGTGACCCATAAGCCATGTTGATACAGATAGAAGTTACCAGGAAGCTTCATCAAGTGAGCCACAGCTTGAACCTTAGCTTTCTTAGCTAATCAACTTTTAGGGATTGTTTTTGGGGAAAAATTAGCTTGATCTTTATGGGGGGTGGGTGAAGGAATCCTAGTAGATAGTAGTTTTATTAAACTTATCATCAGTTGTAATCATCAGTCATCCTTTTTTCTTTTGTATCCTTTTCCTTATTGCTTTTTAAAGATATATTGTAGTCTAATGAATATTGACTAACTCCAATAAATACTTCAATAGGCATTATCTTTAATGAGAGATTGTACATTTACAAGGGAAAAATAACATGTTGATAGAAAACTTTCATGTTATTGATTGCCCTTTTATTTGATGGATTTTGTGTGTGTTGTGTGTATGTATATATGTGTCTTAAAGCAAACCCATGTTGGGTATCTTTTTTTTTCCAGTTGCTGTTCAAGAGTTTCATAGCCTGAAGATATGAATTTTGGGGGTTTCACAAGACATAGGAGCTTTGCAATGTAAATGGCAGCACTCCCAAAATGAGAACTATCTTCCTTTGATTCTTCAGTGTTCTTCTGAATGGTATCTCATAACATACAGAGGTAAGAATACTCTGAGGACTTCATTTCAATGAAAACTTGTAATTTCTTTAAATGAATCATTTGTCATTGTAATGAAATCTCATAAGTTTTTATGCTCTTGAATACAACAGTCTTGCCTAATGAGAAAACAGTAGCATCCAGCCAAACTGGTGCATCCTGTGTTCTATATCTGGTGCCCCTTGGATGTAATAGCACCATCCACAGAGGTCACTTCCCCAATTATAATTCCTTTTCTTAAGGGAGCTGCATCCAACTAGGAATATTTCACTGAAGGCTGCTTCCTATATATTCCCTGTCATTAGTGACACAAAGTGGAAGTCTGAAAGACAACTTGAATAATGTTGAATGTTTTAAGAAGTAATTGAATACATTATTTATATCATTTGAACTTAAAATAATATTCCCACTCAGATGATTTTGGTTTAGATTCCAGATATGATAATTATATTATTCTAATAAACATAAATATAAAACTGAGACACCGAAACAGTGGTCATAAATGTGTCTTAGAATTCTGAACTCATCATCATCAAGGGGCAATATAATAGATAGAATGCTGGGTTTGGAGTTAGGAAGATCTGAGTTCAAATTCTGTCTCAAACACTTACTATGGACCCTGCCTCAGTTTTCTCTCCTGTAAAATGGGGATCATAACAGCAGCCACCTCACAGGACTATTGTGAAGATTAAATGAAATAATACACGTAAAGCACTTAGCACAGTGCCTGGTACATACTGGACATTTAATAAACACTTTTCTCTTCTCCTTCCCCCATTATAATCATCATTATTATTGTGAGAGGTATTTTTATGGCATTTTAATGCAGTTATTATTATCCTCATTTACATGTAAATAAACTGAGGTTCAGAGAAATTACATGATTAGTCCGTAACCACACAGCTAGTAGGTATCAGAGACAGAATTCAAACCCAGAGATCTTCTTGGGTCTAAGTTTCCATTGCTTCATCCTCTACACCAGTGGTGGTGTCAAACTTGAATAAAAACCATACATAAGGATCCTTCTGGGTGCACATCAACTTAGAAAACCACTGACATTATCTATGTTTTGTTGTGTTTGTATTTATTTTGTTAAGTAGTTCTCATTTAAATGTTAATTTGATTCTGGCTGCACTTCAAGCATGTTGCCTATGGCTTGTGACTCAACGTTTGACACTTCTGCCCTACATTACAGTGCTAAGTTGCTCTTCACCCTCCCATTCCTCTTCATACTCATCAAATATTTAAGTCTTTATTTCTTTGCTGTATTGTTCTAGGTGATATACAGATTAATATTCTGGATTTCAAAGTATCCAGAGACAAGTGCCATGGATATATGCCATAATCTTAGAGGAGGGCTTTTAAAGCAATCACAACATTATATACAGAGTCAAGAGCATTTCAGAGAAATGCCTGAGGGAGGCAAGCCTATATTTTACAGGTAAACTAAAATCAGTGCCAGACACGGAAAGTTCCCTTCTCAGAGAAAATACATGATGACAGAAAAAATTGAAGAAAATATTGTTGGTCAAGTTTTGAAATAAAGGAGACAAGCAACCAAATATTGATATTATTAACACTGATCAAAATTAATTTTAACCACATTGTTGTCTCCTTATACATATTACTTATATTTATAGATTCTAATATAATGCTATTTTAACTTAACTTTATATTCCAGAAGACCTAGTGAAAGAACCAAAATATAAATTAGAATCACACATTAGCAAAAGCTGGAAGTGACAAGTGTGATTGTCTAGTCACCTGACCTCACATATTTTGCCAATCAGAAAAGAAGAATCCCAAATAATGCATTACCAAAAGTCACAGACTTTATAAAATGACAGAGCTAGGATGAAAACTGAATTTTCTTAAGCAAAACCTGAAAATTTTTGTCAGAACTTAGATGGAAACAGTTTTTAATTAGAGAAAAAATGAGACAATAAGAGATTGAGTCATGAGAGGAAGGATGCCAGTTCTATAATGGAAAAAAAAATATGGAATACTTCTCGTATGTCATTGTTAATTGTTTTGAGAATATTGTCACAAGTACTGGAATGAAGATAGTAATGCTCCTCTCATTTTAATGTAATTTGGACATTTGTCTTCTACCTAGCTTTCAGGAGAGAAACATTTTTTCCCCCACAAAAGTGACAGAAGTAAGGCTCAGGAAGAAACTGACTAAAGAGCACTTATGAACAGAAACTGTAGCATTTCCCTCCTTCTGAAGCATGGCAGTGGCATGATAGTAAAAGGGAACCCTAGGGAGTCTATTAACAATTTAGCATTTACAGTTCATGCAGGAGGGTTAATTTCATTTACCAGAGAGAAATGATGTTCATTACAATTATAAACTTGTAAGAATGTGGGGGTGTGAAATTTATCATATTGTCAGCATTTTAAAATATAAAATGCAAATATGGTAGAAGAGTAATTAGAGGTTTGGGTTTTCCGTGGATCTTCTGCAAAGTATCTACCATTGAAAGTTAAATATGGGAACAGTTCTTTCACAAGGTATAGTTTGCACTGATAAGGCACAGTATGGTTACAACATGATTTATAGGTATTATTTCTTTCAGTCCCTTCACTATTCCTGTGAGGTAGGTGGCACAGTTATTATTGTTCACATTTTAACAGATTAGAAGTTGATACCCAGCGAAGTTAAGTGGTATGACCAAGGTCACATGAATGATAAATGGTAGAGTGAAGATTCAACATCAGGTTTTCTGATATGCCCAGAGCTCTTCTATATTGTGATGCCTCTGTTTTTTGTACTTACTTCAGTTGGTCACTGGTAGATAGGGATGAGGGCAGGGGACTGGATAGGAGGAGATTAAAGGAAACAGAACAGGGAAAGACCACGGTCCCCAAAGGCATTTCTCAAGGAAATTGGGTTCAAAGACCTGGATTGTTTTTTTCCAATAGGTTATTTGCGTGCCACCCCTCTTCTACCCCCCAACTTTAGGATTCCACTCCTCTCTATGAAATGCTCTTTGTTCCAAGGTCTAGTTATTAATATAATCTATGGGGTAGGGAGTATTTCATGTGAAGTTCTGTATCCTCAGCACTTAGCACTATGTCTAGCATACAATAGGTGCTTCAATAATGTTTCTTGAGTGGAAATTATACAATCATGTCCACATGGATCCTACAGGGAAGGTTGGCTCAATTCTGACTTTGAATATAACAGAGATGTTCTGAGGATTGGTGGCATAGCTGAACAAGGCTTGGAACTCTCCACCCTCCTCAAATCATTTTCTTTTCTTTTGAATTAGGCTATCTACCTATCCATCATGTGATTTTATTAGAGTCATCATTTCTTTCCATCACTCCCTCCCCTCTCCTCATCTTCACCTGTTAGAATCCTTGTCTTCGTTGAGGGATCATTTCCGGTGCCTTCTCCTCAGTAAAACCTTCCATGACCTTTTCATTTCCCCCTTTCCCCCAGTTGTTTAAGCTCTCTGTGTTAGAAGTACTTTCTCTGGCTCTCTTTTTTGTGACTATTTAACTTGGTATTGTATCATGTGTGTGTGTGTATGTATGTGTGTGTGTGTGTGTATGTGTACATACCGTGTCCTCCCTAGTAGAATGTAAGCCCCTTCAGAGTAGTGACTTCCATTTGTTATCTTTTCATCATTGGCACCTGGCACAGTACCTTGTATATGGTGTGTGATTAGTGGATGCTTATTCAATGAGTAGTAAAAAACTTATTTTCATAAGGGGCTTTAACATATACAAAGCATCTTACATATGTTATCCTATTTGATAAGTACTGTATCTATAACCTTGCTTATTGTACAGGCGAAGAAATTGAGTCTCAGAGAAGTTAAGTGACTGGCCTGAGGGTACACAGTTAAGTATTGGAGGTGAAATTCAAGCCTTAGTGTCTTGATTTTGAGTTTTTGTCCTCACCACCCTACCTCCCCGAGACACAAGTAAATATACCAGTATTTATCCAGTTTTGTAATAGTGACCATTCCGATATGATGGCTCTTCTTAAGTGCATTCTGCTCCTCCTAGAGGCTTTTTTTTCTCGTTGTTTCATTATTACTTTAGTGTTTTATAATTTTTACAGTTATAATTTCTACATTTTGATACAAAAATTTTAATTCTTTATATCTCTCCTGGAAATTTAATAAAGTTACCACCTCCAGTTTCCTTGCTTAACCTACCATCAGCCTATTTATTTCAGTGTTTTCATAAATGATCTAAGCAATGGGAAATATGAAGGGGTTAAAGAATTGCCAGGATTGATCAAGCCTGCTCTTTTTCTGACTCTTGAGATGGTGTTGACAGCCAAATGATGAGTTTCTTCAATAAATCCACTCTCATAGTCAAGTCTTTCCAGATGTGAGAAGTAATTAAGACTCTGCATTTATTGAGGCTTTGTGTACTTTCTGAAAAGAAATTGGCAGCTGTGGTGAATTAGCTGCATATATAGCATATATGTACATATTGTATATAATGTATGTGCATATGTATGACACATAAACCATATGCTATATATAAAACACAAAACATGTATAATCTATAAAACACATACATATGATACAATAAACTGAAAACCAAAAGCTAATTTCTGTAATAATTATATATTACCAGTGAAGAAGCTGGACTTAGTGCATTTTATTTTGTACCTTTTCAAAGGAATGTTTAAGGGAAGGGGGAATAATTTTTTAAAATATTAAATGTGTAACTTAAAATATTTCTGATTCTAATTCTCAAAGGTACTTTTGGTGATAAATTTGTTTTATTCTCTCATTCCTTCTTTAAGTAATTGCCTTCATTTTAGTCACTTGTTTTGGGGTTTTCAGTGAGGAGGAACTTAGGATTGATGGAACGATGGTAGTATCAGCTTTAATGTTATTAGAGCGTAAGTAACATTGCAAATAGCACATTAATAAACCAGAATTGTCTCTTCTGACTAGGAGTAATAACATGCCAGTGTAGACACATAATAATGACCTCTTCTTTCATTGAAATTAATGGGTAAAGAG